GCCGTAAAAAATGAGAAATTAGAGACATTTATAGCTAAGTGGATGCACATTGAGGCGATACTCTTAAGTGAAATAAATAGGACACACATGTGCAATTACCAAATAGTTTCTCAAGTATGAGAAACTGAAAGTGTAAATAAGGACTAAAAGGTATAATGGGATAATGTGAAATAGGAAGAGAAGAGGCAAAGGGGAAGGATAATTGGGAGGGGTAGGGGAAAGGAAAGAAGGGAATGGAATTAATATGAGAAAATGAAAAAGTGGAAACAAAGTCTTTGTAAATAAGGAAGGACAGAGGGGTTGAAGGGTAGGGCAGGGAAGGGGAAAAAAATAAGAACCAAGAGAGATTATGTAAAGGTGCAAATTTCCAGTGATGAATGTCATTATATTACATACCTAAAATGTACCAATAAAATAAAATTTAAAAAAATTATTGTAATATTAAATAAAACATTTTACCTTTAGGGACTTGCATCTGTTGTATCTTTGTGCATGTAGCAGAGATAGAAGTTGATAGCAAGATGCAGTAGCTAAGCAGCTGTACCGTTTGCCTTCTCATTCCTCATCTCACACATGGTGACAGTTCCAAGAATTAAAGGGCATAGCCCTAAACATATAGATACATAAAAGATTCTGTATTCCATATCATAGTAAGCATGACATTTAGATAGCAGAACGCCTGGAGTATAAGAGTACCTCTTTTGAAACTTTTTTTAATTAGCTTCTCTAGGAATTTGCAATATAGGTTTTGTCTAATTTTGTGGTACTTTCTAACATTTTCCTGTTGTATGTATTGAGAGGCACAATTGTGGGACTTTCTAGAACACACAAAAGATTGTATGTTCCCATCCTACAGATTTCATAAGCCAGCTGTGTGTTCCTTCAGATGGCACACATCCTTTCTTTCCATGGTTATTGCCACCCTCAAGGAAGGAATCCAGGATATTGTGGCCAAATTACTAATTAGAGAATGATGAGTTACAGAGGGCATTGAGAACTGAGGACTAAAGAAGTAAAACCAGGGAAGAGATCAGTTCGATAAATGAAATTAGTGATTAAGTTGAAACAAAGTATAGAAGTTTAAAAGAAAAATAAAATTTGTGAAAAACAATTAACTGTATTCTGTGAATTCATGCCTTTTGGGGCTACTTATAGAAGGTCCTATAGTTGGGCAAAAATTTAATTTGATGGTTGTGTTTTAATAAAGAATAGTGGCTCCTAGGGCAGAGAAGGTGAGC